AAGCGTGGAGTCAGAAAAGTCCTTTGACAGATTCTTTGCTGATATTGCAGTGATAAGTGTGAAGTCAGAAAAGTCCTTTGACAGATTCTTTGCTTATTTTGGAAATAGCTTTACCGTGCTAAAAGTTGACTAATATCTTTTCTTTTTCTAGCTGGAAATCTTGTGTTCAGTCAATATTCTACAGTTCATATTTATTGCACTCAGACTAGACGAGATCATCAGATGGCCGTGGCTTGTATGTAACAAGTGTTTTCTTCTTATCCCTGTTTAAATGCTGACTTTCATAAAGAGATTTACTCTAGGGAGCATGCTGATGTATGATCAAAGTCCATGATGACATTTTGCTCACTCAACAGTCCTTCATTGAAGGTCTGCCATTTCATTTGGGGGTCACAGGAGGCTGTTCTTTGGGCATTTCATCCTTCAGGGGAGAGGGATGCATCATCAAGTGCAATTAATCTCTGATCAGTTGGTGAAAGAGAAATCCTAACCAAAAGTTTCCAGTGGGGAAACCAGCCATGAAAATGATGGGTGAATTAGGGAATGTGTTGGCAAGTATGGGGTAGTAAATAACTAGTTTTATTTGTTGTGTTACCATGCATGTAGATCCACTTATTGTGCAAGTGGTCACTGTCAGCATTGCTGAGATCTCCCGTCCCAAGTAACTTTAGAATACGAAAGCACTGTTTCTCTGTCTGGGTTTTTGTAAACTGCCATAAAACTGATAATCTGGCATTACTATGACTGTCCTTTCTATTTTCCAAAAAACTAGGAAAATGATCTAATTTAGAAACTGTGTTAAGTAAGGTGTCCACTGTAGAAAATACCTTGAAAATCAATTTCAAGTACTATTTGAGCCCATGTAAAAATCACAGAAGTCTTACTGTTCTTGTTTAGACTTAATATGTAGACTTGCTTTATTTAAAAAAAACCCACATCTGAAACAAATCAAACTGATAAAAACGTGTCACTGTCGGCGGGTGGGAAAGCAATTAATTTCTTTTTCTTTCAGGTTGTTTGTGTTCCACTGTGGATCTTGATGTCCTTTCTGTGTCTAGTAGTGCTCTATTACATTGTATGGTCTGTCCTATTCTTGCGCTCTATGGATGTGATTGCTGAGCAGAGGAGGACACACATAACGATGGCTGTCAGCTGGATGACCATCGTAGTTCCGCTGCTCACATTTGAGGTAAGAAAAAACATAACGAGTTTTATGTATTGTGTGCTTTTTTCCGTGAGTGATGAATGTTGCTCTGTCTCTTTTTGAACTAAAATGAGAATACTGCTTTTTGTTTTGGAATAAAATATTAACAGCAAATATGACAGAAATCCAAGAATTTTATGTTTCCTTAAAGTTTTTTTGAGTAAAATATGCATCACACTGGAACTGTACGTATTTCTGTGGAAGTAATTTTTTTTCACAGATGTGTGAAGTTAAAGATCTGAGATCAGCATATGTTTGAAGAAGCTTGAAAGTGGGTGTTGCAATTAAACTGACATTGTATAATTTTTTTGCCATTTAGATCTTACTAGTACACAGACTGGATGGGCATAATTCTTTTTCTTTTATACCCATATTTGTTCCTCTCTGGCTTTCACTGATAACTTTAATGGCAACAACATTTGGACAAAAAGGAGGAAATCACTGTAAGTATTTAAAAATCATGGAACCAGCTTGAAACTCAATGCTTACATGTACTTTATTAAGATCTGTATTTTCAAAAACAGATTCTTTTGTGTATATTCTCTCATAAAAGAACTCAGATGTGTCCGTTACTGTTGTGTTCAGGTGATTTTTAGTAAGTTTTCAATGTTTGTGGTCTCTTTCGCCTTTTCCCCTCATTCCTGTCAGAACGCAAGTTCTGCTCAGACTCAACTTGCAATCTCAATGGCATTTTAATTGCAACTTAGACTTTTATCTTTCCCTGTTTCCATGAGTTTTGTCCTCACAGGACATGACTGTATCTTTCTACTCTGCATGCTGAATGTAGTGTAGCACCTACATTTTTTAATTAGCATTTTTCCTAGTAGCCTGAATTAATATTCACTTTGGCCAAATAGTGCTCTGTGCTGTTTAGTAGTAGCTTCAGTTGCTCAGGTGGCCAGTGCAGATTTACTAGGCTTTTATCCCCACCGCAACTAGCACTGCCGAAAGGAGTGTTTGCACTTCCAGCAATCTGATGTTGTTGACCAGTGCAGATGAGTAGCTCTTCCCACCCACATTATAGTTCATGTTCTTTGTTAACAAAACAATAAAATTTGTGAGGATTTTTTAGAGTTGAAAGGAACCAGCTGTGATGTCTGTTATATAAACCCACTTCTGTTTTGGGCCCATGGTGAAGTATATTGAGAATTTCTTTCTTCGGTCATGACTAAGCTTATCTCCATACACTTAGTTTGCTTTTATGTTGTTATTGCATGGAAAATTGTTACTGGTACCTTTTTGTTTTTTTAATGCATGCCCTCAATAATTTATAGCCAAATTAGCCTTTTGGAAAGCCACATGTCCATTTTATCTTCTGTAGGATTAGTAAATATTCATGTTAATTTTAAAAAAGACTATTCATCTGAAGTGAGCCTTAGAAGACTTGCATGAAAATCTACCTTTAAAGCGCTAAGCAAAATACATCAGTTGGCCACGAAGTATAATCTCTAAAAGAGATGGGCTGTATGGGATCTTCCCTTGCTTTTGTTCAGTATGAAAGATCTGACTTGTGTAGGCTGTTCTTTTTAGCGCTGACCTTTGGTACTGGTTAATAGAGAAGTATCATCTGCTGAATTACAATTTCTGCCTACTTAAATGCTCTCTTTCCAAGTCTTTGTGTATAGGGAAAGATGTGACAAATACAGAATGTGTACTGTTTTCTAATTTAGCACAGGTAGTACCAAGGATAAGATACTCCTGGCATCACATCATATTTGGCTAACAACAAAAGTATTTGGGAAATACTGAATACATACATAGACTAATTTGTCTGCCTATGCCACCCCATTCCCTCTGGTGTTGTAACCTATATGTATCAAACCAAAGTTGGCATGAATGTTCTTTCTCTGTGTACTGATGTGACCCAACACTGCTTAACGTGTTACATGAAATGGACTCCTGCTGGGGTAGCACAGCTGTAACTTACACATATGGATATACACCTACAGACATGTATGTGCAGACATTCAGAGGCATGCAAATGACTGTATATGTATCTGTGTGTATATAACCTGAACTGTAATGTTGTTATATGATGATTGTAAGTAACACCTATCTGTGATTCTGTCCACTCTGCTGTAGGGAACATGCTTTGGCAGGGGGTTGGAACAGATGATCTCTGACAGTCCCTTCTAACCCCTACCATTCTGTCATTCTGTGAACACCTGCTGAGAAGCAGCAGTAACAAATTTTATATTCATATGCAAACAAACAGAACTTAAAGGAGATTGCATAGTCTGCTTGTTTAATTAAATTTTCATTCTGTTCTGCAATAATGTAAAATGATTTTTTTTTTTAGGGTGGTTTGGAATTCGCAAAGACTTTTGCCAGTTCCTACTTGAAATCTTCCCATTCTTACGAGAATATGGCAATATTTCTTATGATCTTCATCATGAAGATAATGAGGAAACAGAAGAAACACCACTGCCTGAACCACCAAAAATTGCACCAATGTTTCGAAAAAAGACTGGAGTGGTCATTACACAGAGTCCTGGAAAATACGTGATTCCACCTCCCAAGTTAAACATTGATATGCCAGATTAAGATGACAGTAGCATATTAAATTTGAACTGGGAATCAGCAGACAAATGTATTTCATCTCATGCCTTGTCCCAATTACTTAAAAATAGATATTGCTGAATCAGTGGCTTGGATTACACAAATCGGAGATCCTGAAGATAATCTGAGAGCTTTTCCAGAAATACGTGGTGGTCTAATTTGTGAACCTTCCTAATGGGTTGGTTGCACACTTGCCTGTATAGTATTTATATGAACATTTTAGCAGTGTAATATATTGTTTAAAAGTCTTGTTGTGTACAGTATAAGTATTATCTAAAAGTATTTTTTTAAAAACCCTGTATGAAATGCCTATGCTATTCCAGATGTCTTTTAGGCCCTAAATATACACTTGATTTCCATGTCTGTTTTAAATGCTTTTTTTGGGATGCCTTAGTATAGTACCTCTTTACTTTTTCTCTTTAGCCACAATCATTGTCTCAGCTACAGAGGCACAGGAGTGTTGCACTTCTCAGGCAAGACTGGAAAGCTTTTTTTGCGGGGAAATAGAATGTATAGCAACTTACATGATGTTTTTGAGTTAGCTATGTAAATTTTCATGTAAGTATTTCAACTTTTGCACTGACTTGGGAGTTAAGTGTTGCTTTTGTTGTTTTTCCAGTTTCATGTTTTAATTCCTCTTGAGCACCATGTACACTGTTCTCCCGTTAGACTGGCTGGCTAATAAGCTGTTCCCTCTTGCGTTGTGCTGGCAGTCTATGCCAGAAACATTAGGTGTAGGTTTTACAGCTGTCAGTTGCTGCTATCAATACCATAGCTTGGTCTTCGTTACCAACTTTGTAGAAGTGTTGGTGTAAATGATTAAACTTTTCAAGATAGGAAGTCCTTGGTGTTGGTATAGCATTTTGTTGCTTGAACAAAGACCTCCTTTGACAGATTGTTTTGGACCTCCAGGTGCTGTAGAGGTCTTTGAAACCTATGCTCCAGTAGCTTGTAACAACAGATGTCGTATACTCCCACATTCTTGCAGCTGCTCTTTGTGTTTAGGTGAACCCACAGTTTAGGTAGCTTAAATATCATGGATCATATTCCCTTAGTGTTAGTGGGACAATGGGTATTCATCTGCTTTTCCATCTTTGGTACACTTCCCTCTTGGTTCTGAGCAGACTCAGAGCTCATGGTTAAGCCAAGGGGGTCTCTTGCTCCCCCTACTTCCCTACCTTTAAGGTTAGGCTAATTATCTTTAAGGTAAGGTTAGTAAATCATTAATAATTTCCAGTAATGGTGAGAAAAATTACATCTTGTTTATTTTTCCTCAAAAGAGCAGTTCTTCAAATGTATTTGTTATTTCAAACAATTAGTTTTGGAAGGGAATCCTAAACAACTCACTGGTATTCAAGATGGTCACTCATCAATAACAAGTTCGTATTTAGGCAGGAAAAATAATCGTGAGGGGCAACACCTACGCTTCTGAAGGGATCAGTTCTTCAGGGATGTCCACCTCCCACAGACCTCTTCTGCCTTTGGCAGGAATCGGTTCCAGGAGCCATCTTGGATTTGAAACAACAGTCAAGTATTTCTCTTCTAGATTACTTAGGACAGCTTTGTTTTCCAGCTCCAGGATCTTTTCAGGAGGTAAGTTTTCTGGATATAGTGATGTCTCTCCAATGTCAATTAATCCTGTATTATAAAATTAAAATATAAAATTAGTTGGCTGTTTTCCAGAAGTCAACTTCCCAGAGAACCCACAGAACAATTAATTTGTTACCAGAAGAACACAGTATGAAGCACTCGCACATCAAACCAGTGTCATTCACTGTGGGAGATGGCCTATGGGACTGAAGTTAATTGAAACTTACAAGGTGTATGTTTCACCTCAGTGATGCAGAATTCTGTCAAAAGAAGCCTGAGTCTGAGGAGATACAGCTACTACCAAAACTCTAGAGCTACATTTGGCCTCAAAACAGCTTCATTAAAAATAAAACTCTACTCCTATCAGAACACTATTCTACTAACATTTTAAAATCCTACTCTCTGCTCCTATTGGAACACTATTCTACTAACATTTTAAAATCCTTAAACTATATGGAAATTCCTGTTCTCTGGAACCCTTTTAATTTCACGAAAGGGAATTTCTATACTGCTTAATGATCAAAAATGTTAAAGATCAAAGAAGCTAGTGAAGTTAGTGAAGTTAGTGCAATTTATGTCAAGGTTATAAATCTGCATATTACTTAGTTCCTAACGCTTCTAAAGATCAAAGAAGCTTTGATACCTACTCCCCAATTTAGTGAAGTAGTGAATTTATGTTAAGGTTACAAATCTGCATATTACTTAGTTCCTAACGCTTTCCAGCACTGTAGAACTGGAATGATTTTTCAGTGTAATAAGATAGAAGTACAAATTTGTGCTGCAGGAATAGCTAAAAATACTCAAATGAGAATGGAAGACGGTGCAACAAAAGATACCTACAAGAAAAGAGTGCAAGACAAGCACTGGATAAAGCCTTTCTATATATGTAGTGCAGCAGCATACATTGTATTTCAGCACAACATAAGCAATGAAACACCACTCCATCCAAACTTTATTACAGAAACAAACTTCTTCACTGCCCAAAAAACTAGTGATGGACCATTTGTAGAACCTAAATAGGATTGATTTATGTAATACTCTAACATAACATTCAAAACACTGCAGCGTCAGGACTTCACTTGACTACGAGTAGTGTAGAAGGGTTTCAGCAAGAGTTCCTAAGCTCCAAATGCAAAAAGCGTGTAGCTGACATTTATCATCATGCAACAAAATAGCACACAACCTACATTATACTCTTACTTCATGACAAGTAAGCACAAATCTATTTCTTGTACAGACTTTAGAATTGTAGCCTGAAGTTTTTAGTATAGTCAGGCCTCAGTTTTTAAAATACACTCTCTAAAATTCTTTACCCTAAAGGTCAAAGATACTTCACATTTCCAACGCAATGAATAATGAAAGAATAAATTTTATTTACAACTTCTGTCACTCACCTCACTTTACGGTGTTAAGGAATCGAACTAGCCTCAGCCACCACTCCTTCAAAGCAAGGCTTAAAGCAATGTTAGAATGAGCATAACTGTGTAAAGCAGATGTGTGTTGGACTGAACGCTCACGGATTGAAAGCTTCACAAACACAATCCAAGGTTGCTTACCTGCAATAACTCCTCTGCCAAACTTTTCCCCTTTATCCAACAAATCTTGCACTTGTTTCGGTGTCATACCAAACCTATTCAAAAGGATTTCTCTCCAGGTTTCATCTTCCCAGTCCTTAATAGCTATATGAATAGCAACGGTGCAGTTCTTGTAGCCGGCGAGCACGGGACGCCAGCGAGTCTCTACTGTTTTGACTTTGTTTAAAACTAACCCTGCAAAGGGCTGCCGGAAGGAAAGGCAACCAAATTTCATCGTTTTCCTTGCATCAGGGCCCGTTTATTTCCTGTAAGCAGACAGACACCGGAGATCAGCGTTTAGGAGGTCTCTGTGGCCGTGCCAAACGAGCAGACCGAGCCCTGACCATCAGCGCTGGGCTACAGCCACCTGCGCGCTGCTCGCCCGGGGGCGATCTCCCGCTCCTCGGCTCCCCTTCACAATGGTCGCCCCCCGCGCCGAGGGCACAGGCCACCCTGGGCCGGCGGTGTCCCGAGCCGCCGCCTCAGCCCCGCCAGAACCGCCCCAGCCCCGGGGGGCCCGCTGCACCGGCGGGCGCTACGCCACGGCGGGAGGGAGGGAACGGGGCCTGGCCCCACAGGCCGCGCTCGGGCGCCGGCTGTTCCCGGGGCGCGAAGGGGTTTGAAAAGCCTCTCCTCGGGGGCCGCCCGGAGGGACCCCGGCCCCGCGTCCCGCTCCCTCCCACAGCGAGCGCTCCGCCGCCTGGGGAGGCCCCACGGCCGCCTCCTACCTGGCTCCGCACCCGTCCCTTCCTGCCGCTCCGCCCCGCTGGCGGCCGCCGGGGAAGGCGGGTGACGGGGAGCGGCGGGGCGGGGCGGCGGCCGGGGCCTGCCGGGTGTGCGCTGCTGGTGTTTTTTGTTGGTTCTCCCGCGAAAGGGCGGCCGTCTCCCCGCCAGCCGGGCAGGGAGCGTGGGGGTGCAGGCCTGGCGATGGCTTCCCTGAGGAGCGTGGCGGGCGGGGGGGGTTTTGGGGGTTGCTGAGGGGAGAAGGGCGCTGGGGTGCCCCCAGGGGCGGCCTGTGGGCCTCGGCTCCGGTGAAGAACCATCAGACCCCCCCCGGGAGTGAAATGGCAGCAGAAACTCTCCGGGGTGCCCTTCCCGAGGCAGCATGGCACTTGTGTCCCCAGATGGAGGGCTGTCCCGAGGGCCCTCTTCTGCCAGAAGTAACTAAAAGCCATTTGGCATGTAAAAACTCGGTCATTTCTCACCCCCCCTGCTTGCTTTAGCCAATAGCTCGGTTTGGACAGAATTTCCCAAAGTATTTTCACTCAGCTGTGCTCTTGGTGGAGAGTCTGATTTGTATACTGTTGCCATTTGAAGTGAAAGTTTCGTGTCAATGTCTTGCCTTTCTAATACAAATATTTTGAAAACACATTTCTTGTTTGACAACAGAGTTTTTCCCTGTGATGCCTGGTGGGCCATCCCTGGCAACAGGGAGCAGTACATAAAGGCCTAGTGAACACAATAAAAACCTGAGACCTCACAGCAAAAAATAATCTGGAATAGAAGGGGATTAAAATAGATATATTATATATCCCACCATATCTGGTCAGTTTTAATGGAGTAACCAATACATATTTTCTGTCAGTGAACACGTGTGTTTTAACAGAGTTCATTTCCAACTTAGATAAAGTGATCTCATTAAGGCAGACTAATGCTGAATAGCGAGAGGCTGTGAAAATGCCTACTGATGCAGTAAGTCAAACACCTGAGATCCTGCCTGAATTTCTGCAGGTATAGAAGATAAAAAAGGCAGAGGCATCTGCATGCCAATTGAAATCACAGGAACATCAATTTTCCCATCAGTTGAGTGTTATAAATAGGAGAAGTATTTGGGGAGTTTTTCCACACGTGCAGCATCCTAGAGAAAGAAAGCAGGGAGGAGAGAACATTCACAAACAGGACTGAGTTCACAGTAGAATTAAGGAAAGACAGGCAAGAGAATAAAGGGGGAAACCTGGGAGAAACAGAAATGAAAAATTAGTAATATTTACCAAGGGGGAAGAGACTGATCACCAACATCAAATCCTGGTTTTGAACTAAGCCCCACGCAGCCACTTGCTTAATCCCCCACTTTGGGGGAGAAAATCGGAAGAGTAAAGTGAGAAAATCCATGGGTTGGGATAAAGACAGTTTAATAGGTAAACAAAAGCCATATGTGCAAGAAAAGCAAAGCAAGGAATTCATTGACTAATTCCTGCGGGCAGGTGTTCATCCCCAGGAAAGCAGAGCTCCATCACACCTAACAGTTATTTGGAAAGACAAACATCACCACCCTTTCTCCTTCTTCCCCCAACTTTATATACTGAGCATGACATCATATGGTCTGGAACATCCCTTTGGTCAGTTGGGGTCAGCTGTGTCTCATCCCAGTTTTTTATGCCCTCCCAGCCCATTTATTGGTTGGGCGGGGCAAAGAGCAGAAAAAGTCTTGACCACTTGGCAACAATTAAAAACATTAGTGTGTTGTTAACACCAGTTGCATCCCAAATCCAAAACAGCACCACACCAGCCACCAGTAAGAAAGCTGACTCTGTATCTGCTGCAACCATGACTAAGGTAAACTATGATACTGGTAAAACTTTGCCTGTAGCCTTAGTATTCTAAGGTTACGTGGTTCTAACCATGCTGCACTGGACAGCATAGTTAGAGGATTATTTTCTGATGATAAAAATTTCAGATAGCTTTTATGATAGTTTTTGGTGTATACTTCAAATATACCTTCACTGAATGTTGTGTATTCTAAAGTATTTTATGGCTGATAGACTGTATCTGTTTAGACCTATTTTTTTTTCTGAAATTCCTACTGTTCCCATTATCCTCTTTTCTGCAGAATATTTCCAATATCATGTTCAAAATGTTCCAAACAGAGTCATTCCAGTCCCTTACACAATACCATAATAACAAGAGAAAGTAATGGATGACGTGAATTTAAGGTCACTGTAGTGTTTACAGGGTTATTATTTCAAATGTTCTTTGGCTTTAAGGTATTTCCATCTTCCTAGATGTGTGTGCATAGTTGAAGAACCTGTTGAATCTGTTTAGAGTTGCAAATACGTAATGAGCTTTCATGCTTTCTTTGGTTATGATATTTTTCCACTGCATAATTACAGTTTATGTAAGGGTTAGTTATTTTGGGGAAAATAGAGGGCAAAATTTTTTCCTGTTGGGTAAGTAAGTTTTACATTCATAAAACTTACAGCAGGATTTCTATCATGTTTCATCACATAAATAAAGTACATTTTTTCCTGATTTAAGCAAAAATCTCCAGAGGTCTTAAAATCTCAAATCTATCAGTTGTAAATAAAATGTAAATTGCACAAGACTTGTGTGTTACTAACAAAGGTGAAGAAATACTGTATTGAAGATCTCCTGCCAGAAAACTAGCTTGCTTTTGCAGAAACCTTCTCTGATAGATTGTGACATGCACTGGAGGACTTAAAACCTATTTATAGCAGTACTTAAATAAGGCCCTGAAATGATGAGATTTTGTGTATGTGTTCAGCCTTTTGCGTGATGAGTGGTAAATGGACTTTAGTAGGTTTCCTCAGGATATGAGCTAATGATTTGAAGTGTACAACAGTCAATATGAAAAAGAAAATTAATTCTGATCTTAGCAGATGATCAGCTCACGCTTGACATCTAAGATGCACGTAACTGGTTTTTGGTCACTGTGACTTTCATATGCTAACACCAATCCCTAATTATCTAATCTTGGCACAGTACCTCACCTGATGATAATCTCAACAACAGGAAATTCTACAGGTTTGGTCTATACTTCTGTAAAGTATATTTCATGTCAGTGTCTCCAAATTAGCTTTCCTTCCCTAATTTTAATTTTGATAGAATAAGGACTGCATAATTCCGGTTACAGAACACGTTACTGCTTTCAGTGGAGCTAAAACAATGCCCGGTGCATCATTTATAAGGAGTCAGGTCTGATCTCATCTAGATAGGTGAGGATTGCTGTGTTTCTTGTCAAATTCGCTTAGTAGCTGATTTTACATGACTCAGTACACAGCAATATGTGCTGGGATATCTTGGGTCAAAATCAGGTCAAGGTACTTGATCAGATACAGTTCATTTCAGAAGTGGTAAAGATACGGTGCAGTATGTTACAGGATATTGGAGGTCAAACCTGAAATTTCAGCTGTTAATAACCCATGAAATACAATACAATTATTTGTATTGGGTGGTCACTATTTAATAATTGACATTCACAAGAAGCTGGGATATGTTGACATGAACATCCATTGCATTTTCCTGTATTTTAGAACATCAAACAGTGTGAAGTGTGATGCTGTGACTGTATTCTTTTGGCAGCAATTCCATCTTAAGGAATTCTACCAACCTTCTACATTTTGCCCCGTTTCCCTTAATTTTACTCTGTCTCTCATTCTAATATTGTGGTTTATGAAGCCTCAGCACATGTTGGCAAAACAGCTTTATATTGTTCTTATACTGAAATAAAGAAATTCTAATTTTTGGATGAACTAAAATACTTACATTTTACCATGCTGATGTGTATTTCTTTATATATATTGTAAGAAACGGTGACTGTCTTAAGTGTTTTAGTAAACGTATCTCCAGTTTCTTTAGATGGTTCTCTCATTTCCAGATTTGTTGCAATAGTGTGTTTTCTGGACGATTCTCTGAAAATGTGAATCTGTGGTTCTTTTCTTTTTTACACCCCCACACAGCCCACCCCGTGAGTAGACTACATTTCTGGTTTGTAACATATCACTGACATTACTGTCCTTCTCAAAAGTTTTGGCATTACAAATAATCAGTAGTCGTAATTTGTTGGTTACTTAGAGTTTTCCTGTGTCTGAGAAATATTTTAATGAGGTTTCTCAGTGTGGGCAGCTTGGTGGTAAAAATGCAGTTGTATTTCGGAGGTTTATTCAAGACTAAAATGCCTACGTACTAGGTTTTCTCTTAGGCAGGTTTCAGCATGTTTTCATAACAGATCATGTGTGTATGACAGATCTTCTTATATAAGGACATATGCCCTGTTCTTTTTTAAAACACCCAATATGAAGGCATAAGGTAGAGCATGAGCATTAGTGTCTAGCATTTGTGTGCATTCATCGTACTGCCTTTCGTAACGGTATATCGTAGTAGCTGTATAGTGGTATGTAGTAGCTAATATACTAGAATTTTGCTAATATTCAGAGACCATCCTAGTCCTCCTGCTTTTCTGAAGATTAAAAGAAGGCTGTAGCTATAGGCTGAACACCGAGCTAGTTGATTTTAGAAACATCTTGTGTAGCTCTCGGTAGAAATCTTTTTGTGGTTGAGATAACATGGCCTCATGCTGAGTTGATCTGCAGGGGAAGGAGAGGTTGTGATAATGAGCCCTCCTTCCCCTGCTGATTATTGTGTCCAATCCGCAGGCAACTCTGAATGCAGTATGTGGCCACATAAAACATTTTTAAAGATAAGACTGATCAACACTTTTGTATGGCCATGGCTCCATAATCAGGGTTCATGCCCTCTGAAATACTGTCTTTTTT